CGGTTCCATGGCTCCACCCTTGTTCTAACATGGTGGGACGGTATTCCACCAGGACGAGTCGTCGGCCCTCTGATTGAGGATTGGATGGAAGGCGTCGCTGACTGGACACGGTCCCAGCAGGACTCCAGATGTGAGGGCAGGCTAACAGTGGTTTAGTGAGCAGCTGATAGTGAGCTGATTTGATCAGTGAGTCATGGTTTGTATCGGGGTGCGGCAGGAAAGGAAAGCTAGCCTTGGCTATAATCCTATGTTTGATAATCTGTCTGCTAATATGTAAACATGCTTAGGAAATGAATTTTCCCTTTAAACAAATACAGAAAATGAGGTCAGCTCTTGTTTAAGTCAAACATACCAGCATGCTGTCAGTAATGACTGGAGATGATAAATCTGTTGTCATGAATTGTTCTGATAAATCTGGACTTTAATCTGACAACAATGAAAATCTAAAGCCGGGATGCTTCATGCAGGGCAATGGTTGTTAACATGAGCAACACTAGAACTTTAAATAGAATATTAAACATAACAAATGTAATTGTCATATTTATTGATAACATATTATCCTTTGGAGAAACCTAAGCAGGAAAGTTACTGAAATCAATAAAGAGATTAAAAGCAACAACAGGCAGCCTTCAGGCTGCCGTCAGGCCACCAACAGGCCAACAACAGGCAGCCTTCAGGCTGCCGTCAGGCCGCCAACAGGCAGCCATCAGGCTGTTTTCTCTCTCTGGTCCTGATCTGGACAGGAAGTGGGATGCTACGCTACTTCCTGGATCCATCTCTCCATTTCTGACCATCTTCTCTCTGAGCTCTGAATGCAATGTTTTCTCTGTCAGTCGGACGGTTCTAGAATCCGTATTTCTAACAGACTCAGACAGCTGCAGCGACCTTAAGCCGACTCTCCAGGGAATTCTGGGTAAAATCCTCCATCTCCGCCGTGCTGAAGACTCCTCTGCTCTGTTCAGCCAAGCGTTCAGCAGCACACATCATCACTGCGGCTCTGCAGTCTGCAGGAAAGTTGAGGAAATGTCAGATTTGTCTCCAAAGTTGGTCTGACAGCAGAAACTTGACAGAAGCAGGAGGTTTTTTCTCCCTCAGCATCGACTTGCAGAGGAAGCGACTGAAGCAGGAGAGCAGAGTGACAGCTGGATGCTGCAGGAGAGCATCAGCTTATCAGGCTGAGGAGCTTCCTATAGATCTTCCTCAGTCTAGATCTGGAACTACAGGAAGGAAGACCACCTGAGGACCAGAGTCTGGGTCCAGAGGTTCCTGCTGGAGCCGTCAGGAACCTGGTCTGCCTCTGAGCAGAAGCCGTTCACTGAGGAGATTTTAGTGTCTGAATGGTTGCAGAGAGTGAAGGAAGGAGTAGGAGCCTCTAATGGCCGGACCCCCGCGGTTCTGATCCGACTTCAATCTGCAGAACTGCTGTGCTGTCAGAGATGACCTAGTTGCTTCTTCTCCTGTCAGCTTGCAGAGTGACGGAGCATCCAATCAGGTCGCTCTGACAGATGTAGAACAAACAGAACATGGTGTTCTGATCCGATCCGTTTGCTGCAGAACCTCCTTCCTCTGATCCCGACTGACAGGTCAGCAGAACCCAAACTGGTTAGAACCTCAGGTTCTAATCAGGGTTTGGATCCTCAGGATGCTGCAGGAGGGTTAAACCCCTGAATGGCCTCATTGGACCCAGGCGGTCCCCCCATTGCTGTAACCGGGGGCCCTTCAGGGGCCCGTCTGGAGCCCGTTTAGAGCTCGCCTAGGGTCCGTCTCTGCGGGTCGTCCTCCATCAGATCCCAGGTTCTGATCTAAGGTCCGTCAAACCCTGACGGTCCTTCATCAGTCTGAACCGACCCATTTGGACCATTTGAACCTGTCCAAACGGATCAGGACCAGAAGAACCAGATACCGGCTCAGAACTTAGAGGAGTCAGACAGAGGAGAGGTGGTCCAGGAACCAGGTCAGAGGTCAGAGTTCCATCAGAGGGGAGGCGGCTAAAGGAGGTCGGCTCGCTGCAGACAGACTCCGCCCCCTATTTATGGCCATAAATCATGAAAATAGTCTCCTATCTGGGAAAGGCTTCCTTCTCCTAATGGATCTGTTGGACCTCCATCTTCTGGAAGCTTCGACCCAAACTGTCATCCTGACTTCACCTTTGACCTCCAGCCTCCATTCAGCCCCTCCAGCAAACGTTCCTCTGACCCAGCAGCCTGTTCTTCATCATCGCTTCATTAGCCTGGAGAAGAACGCCAGAAACAGTCGCAGCACAAGGCGCCATTTTCTGCCACAGATCACAACAAGCAGGAAGTGAAAAGTGAGCGAGGAGACGCTGGAAGAAGGAGACGCTTCCATGAACATCAATCAGCAGAAATGAGGCCAGATCACTGGAGACAAACGTCTGATTGATGAGAGCGCCTCCGTCTCTGAAAGCTAACGAGACACAAGAACAACTCAGATCCATCAAAAAGACGTCAGAACCTCTGAGGTCCATCAGACGGCGGTAGATGGAGGGTCCACTGCTCCATAAATCAGGTCAAACCTGAAGGTCTGAAAACCTGGTCGGCCTTCTGGTCCAGAACCAAACCGGTTTAACTCCTCCTGAAGGAGGGAGACCGTTTACTGGGAACAGGAACCACAAAGATCCCAGGAGGCGTTCCCCATGGCTCCATAGTTACCATAGCAACCCAGCTGGTCATCTCCGTGTCACCAGGTGACTATGAACCCATTCCAGATAAAAGCAGAGAAGAAACCAAAGCGAGGATGAACTAAATGTTCTTCAGCTGAATCAGTTTCTGGACCAAAGGAAGAACGTTTCAATGTTAGCATCCAGCTAGAACTATAGAAAGTAGATCAGACAGCTGATCCAGCTAGAAGCTGCAACCAGGATCTAGATCTGGACCTTCAGAGGCTCAGAGAGACAGGGACACAGTGCAGCTTCTACCTGAAGAACATCTGCAGGATTAAAGGACTGATGCTGAAAAACTACTTCCTGCTTCTTTGGTAGAATTGATCCCTGCAGCAATCTATCTATACAGAACTAGAACTATAGAAAGTAGATCAGACAGCTGATCCAGACGCTGCTGCCTGCGTCCTCACTAGAACTATAGAAAGTAGATCAGACAGCTGATCCAGACGCTGCTGCCTGCGTCCTCACTAGAACTATAGAAAGTAGATCAGACAGCTGATCCAGACGCTGCTGCCTGCGTCCTCACTAGAACTATGAAAGTAGAGTCTGTCTAATCAGTGGACAATAATTAACGAGTTAACGAGGTTTCATAACGAGTGGTCTGGACTCACCCTGGACAGGACCACCTCCAGGCTGATGTTCTGAGGAGGAGCGCTGGGAGCTGCAGAGACACAAACACAGAATCAGAGCCGTTATCTGGAAACCTGTTCAGACTCAATCCATGCTGGTTTGGATCCTGTGCTGCAGATCTAGGCTCTCTGCTTAGTTTTTACATTCATATATTCTAAAAGTTGAAAAGCTGCAGCTTCATCTCAGGATCTTCCACATTTAAAGGAAAAGTCGCTCATATTCAGAATCCAAACTTCTGAAAGTTCTTTAAATCTGAAATGATTCCATCCTGTTCAATAAATGATCAGTGTTTTTAATTCAGAGTAATTTTCATGTGAATGTGCTTTACTGGAGGCATCCATGTTTGTCAAAGAACACTACTGCCACCTACTGGTTAGTGACATTGTCACGGTGCGGTATCGGCTGTTGATCAAGTCCCAGTGCTGTATCTGGTGTTTGTCACAACGCGCTATTATCCAAGTCATCTTGAAAACATTCTTCTTCCAAATGTTGGCTACATATTACGGGTTTTTTCTCTGGCCAGAAGTTCGATGGCAAATCCTCCCTCTTCAAGTTGGCGATCCAACGACCAACCCGTCCGTGGAGGATCAGGAATCAGAAAGGTGGAATAACTCTTTTTTCCACTTTTACCCGATGTATTCCAGCATCCAGCTGCCATGCACGTGGGCATTGTCAGTTTCACTATAGCTCTGGTGAATTTCAATGGTGAAGTCCTCTGGAAATCTTCAATAATTGTTGTTGATTGCAGATGTGTCTAGTAGTTCCCATTGATTTGGCTTGGAAAGCGGGGAGAATGGCGCTAGGCTTACCGCACCGTGACGTCACTGCTGGAAGATGGCAGGAGGGAGGGGCTACTATATTTGGGGGAAAAATGGCCGCTCCCAGACTTTTTTTTTTACTAATTAACGCTAAATTCATTAAATCACAGCGAACGTATAACGTTAAGGTATAAACAATGATCCATGGATTAATCCTGCTGACTGAACTTTTCCTTTAAAGTGAAACTGCTCCATCCGTCTCCACCGTGTTTCAGCGTCAGTCTGCAGACTGATGGAGATCTACTGATTAAACCTGGAGGTGCGGGAAGACTGTGGACTCGAAGCTCATTGGCTGTCTGTTCCAACCTTGTCTCAAATGATAAAACCTGATGTCATCAGAATGCTGAAGACGGTTCTTTATGGACGTGTTCTGACTGAAGGCTGTTAGCTTCCTAAGCCCCGCCTCTCCGTAAGCAGATGTTGGGCTGAAGAACTTCCTGTTGAGGAAAGGAAGCAAGGAAGCTGCTCCTTTATGTCCTACATTTGAACAGAAAGTTGTTTTCCAGGAGCTGCAGTGCAGGATGGTCGCCGGTTCAAATCCCAGCTGCAGCTCCATGTGGATGTGGCGGTTCCCTCAGACGTTCCGCCTCTCTGGTTCCCTCTAACTGGTTCCCAGTGTCTCCTGCTGGTTTTTAAAGCTGTCTGAGTTCAGCAGCTGATCCAGAAGCAGCGCCAGGTGACGTTCGGCCCGTTCGCTGCACTAACCTTCAGGTCAGACAGGATGTGAGGAATCAGCAGCATGGACCCAGAAACCTGCTGAGGGGGTTACGGTCAGGATCTGCCTGACGACAGGAAGCAGGCGGCGCCGCTGACCGGAGCCTCCGGGCCGGATGAGCCCGGTTCTGCTGCTGGAGGAGCAGATTGATGCCTGTCTAAACCAATGAGACGTTCCCATTAACAGACATAGGTTCTGGTCTTTAGCAGTCGTCCAATCAGATGCCTGATGGCGTATCGCCGCCGTCAGCTGCTCCTGTTTTATGGACGATCCAATTAGCCCAGCCGTCCCACTTATCGCAGCGCCACAGATGGCAGATCCACAAAACGCCTCAGAGTGTCGGTTATTACTCACGGCCTTTATGGGCCCAACCCCCCCACTCTTCTTCTGGGGTTTATTGATGGCAGCTCAGAGCTGCTGTCGGCGCCGCCGTCTGGAGGCCGTTATCTGGTTCTGATTGATGGGAGGAGCAGAACCTGAGCGTAAACACGGTCCTGGATCGGTTCTCTGCCGGTTCTGCTCCAGGATGAGGAGTTCTGCTCTGCAGCAGGACATCCTGAAGGAGCGACCCCCCATCAGCCAGTCATTAAAGGCTGGAGCCTGGAAGGTTCTGGAGCAGAACCAAAGCTGGGAGGTTCTGGAGCAGAACCAAAGCTGGGAGGTTCTGGAGCAGAACCAAAGCTGGAAGGTTCTGGAGCAGAACCAAAGCTGGAAGGTTCTGGAGCAGAACCAAAGCTGGGAGGTTCTGGAGCAGAACCAAAGCTGGAAGGTTCTGGAACAGAACCAAAGCTAGAAGGTTCTGG